GTATATATATATATATATATATATATATATATATACATAAAAAAAGTGGTCCGGAACCACCGGGACGGGATGTTTATTTTCAAAAGGACGTCGCCTCTCGATGGTTTATTTTCGGCTTTCCCCAGATTGTTTGTCGAAGATTTCAACGCGTTGAATTCGACTCAATTTGTTTTTAGGAATAGGGATAAACGGATAGACTAGCGGGGTGTAGATTACTTCTATGAGCGGGCATTATCGTTAATATCAGAGTATCAATTCTTATTAATCAGATAGCTTATGTAAAACTAGTGGTATTATAAAAGTACGAAAAAAAGATGCATTGCTTTCGCCTACTCTAAGCAAGATCTCTAAATTGGCGGGGTCAACTCCCACTTTGAATGATTCGCAAGACTCGCAGATTACGAGCAGGTTTCCGCTCTTTTCACCCTGGCTTAAATCTAGGATAAAATTAACTCGAGTTAACCTTTGGGACGGCCCTTGTCAAGATGACCGAGACTTGCAGATTTCATTTGCGAAACGCCCTGCAGGTTTCTGTTCAAACTCTTGATCGAGCTCACGTGTCTGCTGACCATACGGTCGACGATTCGGGGATCTCGCTACCCCAGAACCATCATCGCCATGAGGAGATCGCGTCGGATCCCGTCTCGGCTATCGACTGACCACGTCAGCACGTTGTTCTCATCAAGCCACGATGTTGACAGCAAGCCAAGACGACGAATGCTCTTGTAAAGGTTCTTCTGCTGCGTGTGGGATAATTATAACCTTCGCATTGACGCCTGCGACTCTCGTCATAGGCATAGCGCTGCTACTAATTCTGGACCGAAAGCATCGGACTCTGATCAGGATAAAGTCCGTCCGTTATATGTATGTCTTGCCTGTCTGCTGTAGATGAAATTGCTGTTTGAACCTTCGGCGGTGCAGTGCTTAACCCCGCATTGCCCCTTACTTACTACGTACATAGTAGTAGAAGCCATGGGGCCCAGGGCTTTGCCGGCAAGGATCTCCCGCCAATGCCCGTTCTGTCGGTGATGCATAACGTCCGTGGCTCACAACTCCCGGAACTCACCTGGCCCACTCGATCGAGACCGTGGTGGGTAAGTAGTGGTAGTAGCTATGGAAGCCGTGGAAGCCGTGGGGGCAAGTGCCGTACGGAAAGTATGTACTACGACAACTAGCATAGCTCTGGCCCTCTGGCCCCGCTACCATATTCTACGTCGTCTCTCACCTGCTGCCGTCATCTCGAACTTCACGCTCCGGCATCAGAAATCAGAAAGCAGCAACGCGGTCAATGGCCATCACGGCCGTCATCAACGGTGGTCGACTGCGCCACCTGGATGAGATGAAATGTTGCCGAATGTGCTTAATAAAATGTTTCATGTCCTGAGCTCAAGGAATCCTAGGGAATGACCTTGCTTGTGCAGCATCCGGACCCATTCCATCCCATCTATTCGAAGATCAATATCCGGCAAACACGAACGGGAGAGCCAATGAGAAAGCCGTTATTGTCAAAGGCTCGGCAGCTCGGTATCGGACGACACATGCCCGGTACTGTAATCTTGAGCTCTTTTCGAGAGTCCCGACCGCACGTAAAGAGTTCGAGCACGTCCCAGCTACCGAGATTTCCTACCGACATTATAGTACGTAGTAGCACTTCAGCTGACAACTGACAAGCATGCCGCCGTCGAATCCCAGCACACTCGGCATCAGATGGATCGCAGGTCCGTCCAGGCTTCTTCTTATACATCAGCTACGGTACCGACCCGACCTTCCTGCTCACTTGCAAGGTCCTCTTCTTCTTCTTCAATCACTTCTTCAGGACGTGTCATTCATTTCCGTCCCGTGCTTTGTTTGAACCCCATCTGTTCGGTGTGTCCTTTGCCATCACTCTTTTTTTCCTTCTTCGATTCTTGTACATCCCACGCTTTTACACATGTTGCCCACCATGCGCAACAATGTCCTGGCGACCGCCGCGCTGAGCTTTGGACTCCTCGGTGGAAGCTCGCTCGCCCAGACGACCGCTTTTGAAGATGTCGCAACAGGCATCACGTTCCAGTAAGTGATCAGGAAGGAAGCCGGAAGACGTGCCGTGCCCCTTTTCGGCAAAGTCTCTCTCTCCAGAAAGTGCTGACTCGGATCGCAGGCAGATCAGCGAGGGTACCTACACCTTCGGCATCGCGATGCCAGCGACGGCATCATCCGACTTTATTGGCCGGATTAGCAGCCAGGTGAGATACTTCGTCGCTCGGGGCTTCCCGCTCCTGTGCTGTTGCTTTGCTGACTCTCTGGCACAAGGGGAACGCCGGATGGGCTGGTATCTCGCTGGGTGGACCCATGCGAGGCAGTCTCATGGTCGTCGCACGCCCGAACGAAGGTGCCGTCATTGGTTCCCTACGGCTGGCTACGGGCTATGCAAATCCTGGTGTTTACTCCGGAGCCGCCACTCTGGAAATCATTGCCGAAGGAACTGCCTATGATACCGAATCAACGAACTTCACCATGACTTTTCTCTGCAAGGGATGTCTGCAAGGCGATGACAGCACGTTCGCGGCAGCTGATGCGACGACGAACCTAGGCTGGGCTACCTCCTCGGTAGATGTGACGACTCCAGCCGATGCCTCGACGGTGCTCGGTTACCACGATACGGGCTTCGGGCTTTTTGCCGTCGATCTTGCTGCAGCACAATCAGCTTCTTTTGCCGAGTGGGCAGCGCTGGCTTCTCAATCTTACTCAAATAGCCCAGCGACCCCAACTAACCCAACCGCAGGCGGGGGGGCGAATGGGTACGGCAACAACACTGCTCCGGCCACCCCGCCCACGGTTTCCAACACTACCTACGATTACATAGTCATTGGTAGTGGGCCATCCGGCCTGATCTCATCTCAGCGTCTCACCGAGACAGGGAAATCCGTTCTTCTCATTGAACGTGGAATGGCAACCACCTTCTCGTCGGGTGGCGAGAGATTTGTTCCCTGGAACAATTCCCTCACCTACTATGACGTGCCAGGCGTTTGGGGTTTCATGAACGAGGGCACTCAGGGTGAAGCATACTGCACAGACACTGCTGCGATTGCCGGGTGCGCTCTTGGTGGAGGTGAGTGGCAGTGATAGCTTGTGCCTTCTTTCGCAATGATACTGACCCTCGACACGTCTAGGCGGAGCTGTGAATGCGATGGCCTTTATCCGTCCTGCCAACTTTGACTTTGATGACAAGTGGCCTGAGACTTGGTAAGTGAAGTATTTCCCTGGGGTTGCGGCGACCTGATCCCGCGCCTCTTGTCCCCGCGAGCTTCTTCAAAAAAACACAAATTCGTTTCAGGACAGGCCTAACTTCGTTTTGCAGGAAATCGGCCGACCTAGCACCTGCCGCGGAACGTCTGTATTCAAGAAATCCAGGAACTACCATTCCTTCCAATGATGGAATCTCCTACGATAATGCTACGCAAGCCGTACTCGAGCCATTTTTCGAGCAGAACGGATGGAGTAATACTGATTACGTCAATGACCCCGACAGCAAAGATCAAGTCTACGGTCTCCCTTCACTCAACGTAAGTGGATAGCGGCTGATCACTTCACCGTGTTTCTTTTCCTACCTCACCGAGCCTCACCGCCTTATAAGCTTGTCTGCTAACAACGATTCAGGTTGCCAACGGGCTGCGCTCCGGCCCTATCCATACGTACTTGCCATTGGCTCAAGCAAAACCGGATTTCACCCTGGCTTTACATACCAAAGTGATTCGTATACTACGCAATGCTTCGACAATCACTGGTGTTGAGGTAGAGAATGCGTCGGGTAGGGAGATCATCAACTTGAACCCCAGTGGTGCCGTGATCCTCGCTGCTGGTTCCATGTCAACACCTAGACTTCTATTCAATTCAGGCATTGGTCCAACTGAGCAGATTAACATCGTCAAATCAAGCCCAACTGGCGTGGTAAGTTGACGGGCCCAATTACCCTCCTGGCCGGGGATATTCGCTAACGTCTCGCTCCTTAGACTGTACCTGAAAGCGACTGGATCAGTTTACCAGTTGGGTAAGCATCTATTTTCTTGAGTCTCTGTTGCCCCTTCCACCTTGTCTCCAGAGTAGACTGGCCCCTGAAACATCTGTGGGGATATCTGCTTACGATTATCCGTCTCTTTAGGGTTGGCATCAAGGACCATTCGACCTATGCGCTTATTTTCAATGTAACGGGAGGTATAACCGCCCGTAGCAGGGAAGAGGTTATGAACCCGAGCGAACTAGACCTGTCACTGTACCAGACCGGCTCGGGCGTGTTAGCACATTCTCAGCAACGCCTTGACGTATTCAGAAAGATCAACATGACGGATGGCCACACCATCGGCTTTCAAATGCACTGCATGTCGGTCAACGTAAACGACACCATTACCTGCCAGGCCTTCGAGACCCACGGTTTAACGTCTGCCGGGGTGCTAGGGATCAAGCCCGACCAGGCCACATATTTCACTAAGGAGCCTTGGGCAAACAATGATGTCGATCGAAAGGCTTGGGAAATGTTCATTGACGAGGTATTCGAGATGGCGCGCCAGCCAGGAAGCCCGCTTGTGTACTCTGGCGGTGCCGAAATGACCGCGGCCGAGTACCTCGCCGCCTCGAAGGTCAGCAATGGCTATCATGTTGTGGGCTCCACCAAGATGGGCTCTGACGACGGTCGGCGGAACGGCACCGCTGTTGTTGATCTCGACACCAAGGTCTATGGCACTGACAACCTGTTCATTGTCGATGCCTCTTTCCACCCTGATCTGCCGACTGGAAACACTCAGGTACGAAACCAGAAGCCCTTCCCTCCTCTCCGGATCCTCGACTGCCCTGATATTCTTGGGGCCACGTCAATTCTCTCTATAGCTCTTTCGTGGAACTCCTGCTGACTTGTCACGTGTCTTAGGCCCAGGTCATGGTCGCTGCCGAGCGGGCGATAGAGAGGATCATTGCCCTCCGTGGAGAAACATGGTCACCCACTGGTGGGTACTCACAAGGTACACCACCACCCACTGGGTACACACCAGCTACGCCACCGACTGGAGAGAAAAGCAACGGCTCTCCCGAAGATACCCCACCGACTGGAGAGAAAACCAACGGCTACCCCCAAGGTACCCCACCGACTGGAGAAGAAACCAATGGCTCTACACCAGGCAAATCACCGACTGGAGAGAAGACCAACGGCTCTACACCAGCAAATCACC